ATTAAAACATAAAATATTTATTATAATTTTAGAAAGTTTAAAAAAGTTTTTAAATTATTTTTTTAAAATTTAAATAAGAAATAATAAGCTAAGCGCGATATATTATAACTTCAATAAATTAAATTAATAAAGGACTATTTAATTAAATTTAAATAATTTAATACTTAATTTAATCTTACTAACGATATTAAGATTTTTATATTTTATTAAAAATTAAAAAATAAAGTTAAGGACGAACTTATTAAAATTAACGAATTAAACGATTTTTTTTAATATATTAAACTTATAATTAAAATCAATAACCGTTTTTATAAAAAAAATAAAAAAAAAGCTAAACGACGATAGGAACTTAACTTAGGACGTAAATATTAATAATAACTTGAATATAATTTTAATTAAAAATATTAATATAATAAGAATAATAATTTTTAATAAACTACTATTTATAAATAATATAACGGACTTATAAACTTTAATATAATAAAATAAAATTAATATTATTAAAAAAAAGAATTTAAATATTATAATTACGATAAGCTAAAATATATAGCTAGGGATTATAAATAACCTAAATAAATTTAATAATAACCTATTTTTAAAAAATAAATTAATATTACTTTTAAAAAAGTACCTTATAAATTACTTTTTTAAACTATATATTACGATAATAATTACCTTATTTACTAAAATAATAAAAAATAATTAAGATAATACTTTAAAAAACCTTTTAATAGAACCTTTATTATAATAAATAAATAAAGAATAGTTTAACGTTTTAAAATTATTAAAAATTATAATAAAGAATATATCTAAATATTATCGATAATATATAAAATAATTAAAATATAACCTATTAATTTTTTTAAATAAGCGTAAACCTTTATGATAATAAAAAGTAAATTAAAAAAAAGGATAATAATTAAAACTAAAAACGATTTATTTTAGTTAAAAAACGAGATTTTAGTTTATAAAGTACGGATTCTATATAAAACTATTTATATAATACGACGAGTATTTAATAAAATAATTTAATATTATAAATATCGTTTTTTAATAATAGAGGATTATAATAAAAACTATATCCGTATTTTAATTAGTTATTATAAAGCTGGTCAATCGATTAAACGATTAGCTATAAAAATAATATTTATTTTATTTTAGTAACGATTTTAAAGACGATTAAAGGCTAAAACGAAGGAAGACCTCTTTTAATTAAAAGACGAGATCGATAAAGAAATAAATCTAATTTATAAACCTTAGATATTAAAAGAGTACTATTAGTAACGTATTAAAGAACTAAACGAGGCTTATTATATAATAAACGCTTATATTCCCTAATATTTAATTATAAAGATAGTCTTTATTATTTTGTAATAACGAATAAATAAATAACTTAAAGTAATAATGAAAGACAATATGCTCCGCTTAAAGTAAAACTTTCTTATATTTAATAAAAAAACCTTATATAAGCTTACCTTTATATTTATATTAAATATAAATAATATAATTAATAAAGATATTATAAAGATAAATAATTTAAATAAAGAAACTATTAATAATACGTTTATAAACTCTAATACCGAGAGACTAAATTACGACTTCTTTTTAAATAATGTTTAAATATCGGATTACGAATAGCTTATAAGTTAATAATCGTTTTATAATTTAAACGAACCTCGCGACGTCGCTCGACGACGAGCTTAATTAAAAATTAATTATAGGATATTATTCAATATTAACGACTTTATTATTAAAAAGGAAGCTAATTTAAATAGGTAATTAAAATAGCTAGAATCTATAAGCTTTTAAGAAGAACTAGATTAACTTACTAAGGACCTAAAGAATTACCTATATAATTAATATATTCTAAATATATTATTTAATATTAAAATGTTTAAAAATTATAAATTATTTCTTAAAAAGAAGGAACTTATTAATAAAAAATTAAATAATATTTACGATATTATTAATATATTATATTTATTTATTAAAAAATAAAAGCGTCCTGATTTAATAATTAATTACGAACGGCTTATAAAAAAGAACGGGTATTAACCTTCGAAATATTAAAAAATTAAATATATTAATCGTAAAAAAATAACGAAAAACGGCTAAAATAAATAAATTCTTATACTTTATAATACTTTTTAATAAATAATATTTATAAATTAAACTCCAAATAAATAAATACGATATAAGCCTTATTATTAATAGCGGCGTTTAAAAAATCTTTATTTTATTAAAAATAGTAAATAAATATAATTTATTATAAATATAGAAAATAAACTTATATATTTTATAAATAATAAAAAGAAAATAAATTAAATATAACGACGTATATATTAACTAAAAGACTATATACTTTACGATATATATTAATAATTAACTAAAATAATTAAAATATGATATTATAAAGATTAAAAATACCGACGTTATCCTAAGAATCTTATAATTATAATAATATAACTTATAAATAAATTAAAAAACCGGCTAATTTTAATAAATAGATTTAATTACTAAACGATTTTAAATTTTTTTTTAAATAAGTCTTACGTAATATTGAACGAACGAAAATAAATTAAAAATATCGCTTTTACTAAAATAATAGAACTTATTAAAATATTTATATTTCATACGAACGATCGAAGATCGGACCTATTTTAAATTATATTTAAAAAATATAAAATTTATATAAAACTATTTACTTTAAAAAAAATAAGACTATTAAAATATAATAAATTTAACGAGTATATTAATAATAAATTTAAAAAAAGTTATATTAAATTATTATCCTCTTTAATAAAAATACTAATCTTTTTTATATTTTAAAAAAATAAAAAAAAAGCTTAGATTTATAATTAATTATAAAAAACTTAATAAAATTATTAAAGAGAATTACTATTTATTACTTTTTATTATAAAACTTAAAGAAATATTATATAGAGCCTAATAATTTATTATAATAAACTTTAAAAAAATATTTATTTAAATTTAAATTAAAAAAAGAAATAAATAAAAGACGGTATTCCGAATTTATAAAAAACTTTATAAATATTTAATTATACTTTTCGAACTTATTAACGCACCCGCTATATTTTAAATAATAATTAATTATATATTTAAAAAGTACGTCGATATTTTTATAATCGTTTATTTTAACGAAATTTTTATCTTTTCTTTTAATTTTAAAATATATACAAAATACGTTTATATAATATTTTAAAAACTTTAAAATATAAAGCTTTTTACTAAGCTTAATAAATATAAATTTTATATATAAAAAATAGATTGTTTTAATTATATAATTACGTTAAGATAAATTTATATATAAATATTTAAAATAAAAATAGTTAAAGACTAATTTATATTTATTAGTATTAAAAATATATAATTATTATTAAGATTTATTCATTTTTATTAATAATTCCTTAAGGACTACGCTAATATTATTAAACCTTTTAATAATCTAATAAAAGAAAATACGACCTTTATTTAAAATAAAAAATATAAAAAAGCTTTTAATAAAGTTAAGAACTTAATTATTTCGGAACTAATAATTATAATTTTAGACCTAAAGAAACTATTCAAAATCAAAACTAATATTTTAAATTTCGCTATAAGAGCTATTTTAAAATAACAAGACTAATAAAAAGTACTTTATTTTTATATATTTTATTTTAAAATATTCTATAAAATAAAACTAAATTAATAAATTTATAATAAAGTATTAATAGTTATAATTAAAACTTTTAAAAAATAAAGACTATAGTTTTTAAAACCTAAATATAAAGTTATTATTTATATAAATTATAAAAACTTTACGAATTTTATAATAAATAGAAATTTAAATAAACGATAAATTAAATAAAGCGAATTTTTATTAAAGTTTAATTTTTAAATTATTTATTAAAAAGGTTTAAAAAATAATAAAATAGACGCTTTTAATAAACGACCTAATTATAAAGTTAAAATCCTTAAGGAAATATAAATAATCTTTAAATATAATAATAATAATAATTTTATACCTATTATAAAACTCTTTATAATAACTAAAAGAATTAATATTAACTTATTTAAAAAAATAATTCTTAAGCTTATTATAAAAATTTATAATATTTAAATATACGGTTATTAAAGTATTATAAAAATATAAAACCGGATTTACTAATATTATAATAAATCTATTATAAAAGCAAAAGTTATTAAAACTATTAAAAATTATAATATCTAAAAAAAAATAAACATAGCTTTTATAAGCCTTATAAAAAGCTATAACTACTATTAATACTATTAAAAATATAATACTTAATTTTTTAAGGTTTTATTATTAAATTATTAAAGTTTAAAAAATTATTAATAAATATAGAATACGATAATATTTTGGTTATCGTCGACCGATTTATTAAATTTTTTTATTTTATATTATATAAAAAAGTAAGTAATATTAAAGAATTAGTATATACTTTCTTTAAAATAGTTATTATTAACTATAATATACCTAAAGAAATAGTTTTTAATAAAAATAAGCTATTTATTATTAAGTTTTAGAGATTTTTAATCTTATAATTTAATATAAATTATAAATTATAGACCCTTTTTTACTTATAAACCAATAAAAAAATAAAAGAAATAAACTAGATTTTTAAAATATACTTTTATTATTATGTAAATTACGATTAAGATAACTAGGTATTATTATTATTAATAGCCTAGTTTATATATAATAGCGTAGTTAATAAAAACATAAAAAACTCCTTTTTTTATTTTAATTATAGATTTTAATTAATTATATATAGAGAAGTACGTAAAGGATTATAAATTATAAAAGCTATAATAAACGTAAATAAATTTAAGAAAATTTAAAAAGAAGCCTTTTTAGATTTTAAATTTATACCGTAACGTATAAAAAATATACTAATAAATTTAAAATTAGTAAACTAATTTTAAAAAAGGGAGATGAAATATATTTTTCTTATTATAATATTAAAACGAAGCGAGTAAATAATAAGTTAGATTATAAAAAATTTAGACTTTTTGAAATTATTAAAAAAGTTTTACTAATTAATTTTAAACTAAAACTCTTAGATATAATACGATACTATTTAGTTTTTTATATTTTATTTCTTAAGCCGGTACCTAAGGGCTTATATATAAAAGACCGTATTATTATCGAACTTAATAAACTAAAATACGAAGTTAAATAAATTATCGATTACTATATTAAAAATAGATAATAAAAATTCTTTATTAAATAGAAAGACTATAAATATGAAAATAATATATAAAAACTTATTACGAACCTTTAATATTTTTAATAACTTTTTTATAATTATTAAAAAAATTAACTTTAATTAATAAACTTAACCCTTAAAACTCTTCGCTAAACCTATAATCGCCCTAAAAAAGATCATTAAAAATACTAATAACCTAAAAATCGCTTATTACTTATCTTTAATAAATATTTAATATTAAAAAGATGTTTTTTTTTTCTAACTCTTATATTCTTTAAATAAAGGTTTTAATATAATACTCCTTTATTTTCTTATAAATAATACGAATTTAAGTAAAACGACTAGCCGCTTTAGTAACTTCGGACTAGATCCGAGCTAGTTTTTTATAAAGATTTAATAAAATATTAATAACTTACTCTTCTTTCTTTTCCTATTTCTAATACTAATCGCTTAATCTTTTTATTATAATTAATTAATTTAATAAATAATAATAAAAAATAGAATATATACTCACAACTCAACGATACGACTTAACTATTATAAATATATTTTAAATTCTTATAACTTTAATAAGTCTTCGCGTTTTTAATTATTTAGTAAGTACGTTTTATACGAAAATAATAAGTATAAAATATAACATTATTAAAATTAAAACGATTAAAAACGTCGTTATAAATACTTCGAAATATTATTAATTTGGATTTATTCAAAATATGTTTTTTAATACGACCTAATATCATATTAATATATAATAATAAATATAATTAACTACTTTATAAATTTAGGTAACGAACGCGTATTTATAAGTCTATAAGACTAGACTTTTAAAAAAGAGACTTAATATTACGATTTAATATATATAATAAGACTAGGGATTTACCCCGTAGGCTTACGGCGGTTATTATATTATATATAATATAGGATATAGAAATATATATATTATCCTTACGGAATAAAAAAATTATAAATAAATTATATAATAATAAAATAAAGAATTTTATATGCTTAGTATATAAAGTCCGTTTTTTAATTAAACGGATCCCGTATCCTAAGAATATAAAAACCGTTAAATAAATATATAAATAAAAGATATATTTATAATTAGGATTTATAAATAAAATAGCTACGAGCTAGGATTAAAAATAAATTTCTATAGCTTTTTTAATAATTAATTTCGTATTAGATTTTACGATCGCTTTTAATTATTTTTATTAAAAACCTATTTAATAAGATTACGATTAATTACTAAAGCTTTTTTATTTTACGACTTATAAATAATAGCCTTTTTAAAACTAATCTAATAACGATTATTATTTATAAGTATCGTAGCCCTGATTTCTATTAACATAAACCTTATTACGACTAGCTAGCCGTAATAATAAGGCGCGTTTTAAATAAATTATAATTTAAAAAACAATATTTATTAAAAAGTATTTAATATTTTTAATTTAAATATTTATAAATTTATTTAATAAGCTTTTTACGTATATTTATTATTAATTAATATTTAGGCCGGTATGATAATTAATTTTTGAAAGATTAATAACCGGTTTATTTTTATATAATTAATTTATTTCTAAAATAATAATCGTATTTCCGCTTTATAAAAAAACATTAACCGATTCGTTATTAATAAGTTTTATTTTTAAAATTTTAAAAACAAAAATATTCGTTTGCTATTACAATTCGAAATTTGAATTATTTTTTATATTATTATTATCGATTATTTTAATAATTTAATTTTAATTTACGTTATAATAATTATTAATTCCGTTTTTAGTTTTTATAATATTTATATTTAAACTTTTTAAAAACTCGCGAAGTATTAAATAGAATCCGATTTTAATAATAATACCGTTATTAAAAAGCCGGTATTTAAATATTAATATAAGGCTTTTAGCTTAGGTTTATTTAATTAAATTATATTTAATAAAAAAAATTCGTTTAATAACGAATTATCTTTTATTAAATCCGGTAAATTAAGTTTTTATAATATTTTCGTTAACCTTATTATTAACCTTTTTTTTAATTAAAATGTTAATAGCCCACTTTAAAATAACTTTATTGTTAATTTTAATAATAACTTTTTAATAATCGTTTATTAATTTATTTTATAACCTTTTCCCGCCGTTTTTAATAATTTTAACGAGATTTATAATAACAATTTTAATTTATTTATTTTTAATATTATTATTTTTAATACTATTAATAGCTTTTAATATTATCGTTTTTAATATTATTATTATATCCTTTTCTTTTTAAAAAGTCTACATTTATATTCAATTTTGTTAAACGTTTTATATTAATTATAAAGTTAATTAAAAATATTATAAAACGATTTAGAGAAAAAGGATCCTTTTACGCTTTATCTTTATAGCCTTATTATTAAAACTTTTATTAAGCGTCACTATATTAATTTTATTAAAAATAATATAAAAAGATTTAAAAAAAAATCCCTTTACGCCCCGTCTTTATAACCCTATTATTAAAACTCTTGATAAATATTATTATATTAATTTTATTAAGCCGCCCTTAAACGTTAACCCCCGTCGTAATATATTTTTTAATAAATTAAATAAAATTATTATAGCTTTTATTATTTTTATATTATTGAATAATTATTTTAAAAAGTATTTGTTTTCCATTCTATTTATAGTTATAAACGCTTTCGTTTTATATATTTTTAATTAACTTTTTATGCTTAGCGCACTTTCTTTTAATATATTTAAAAAGAATACTAATAGCGATTATTATTTTATTAATTATTACGCTTTTCTTAAAAAGTATTATATTATTATTAATAATTATATTAATTATTTTTAGGGAATTGATATACGGGCATGATTCTTACACGGGCACAATAGCTATATACTATTATTAGCTTAAAAAAGCTATTACTCTATTTTAATTCCACCGGTCCTACCTAAAATATTTAAGATTTCTTTTAATATATAATTACGATACGTCGTTTATTTAGTTAAGGCTTTATTACTATATTATTTATATTAAGATCTCTTATACTTAAATCCGCCCCTTCGTTATTAAAGCGTAACTTACTATATTTAGCTAAGAGCTCGAGCTTAAATAATAAGCTTAATTTAAAACGGTAATATAATAAATATTTTTTTACCTCGCGACCTTTTATAATTAATAATTCAAATATAAATATTAATAATTATTATAACCTTAGCGACGATAATATATTTAAAAATACTTTTATTTTTTATTTAAACCGGTTTTTTTAAATTATTTAATTATATAACTTATTTAAAAACGATACGGCACTTATTAAAATATAAAATAATTATAAAATCTTTTTTTATAAGATATTTTTAATAATAACTATTTAAACTTATTAAATTATTATATTAATACTTAGCTTAAAATACGGTCTATTTTTTTCATATTTTATTTTTAAGTTTATTTTATTAAATAAAAAGTATCGACTTATATAAACTATTTTTATAAAAGAGTTTAAATTTATATTACGTTTAATTAAAAAAGTAATAAAAAAAAGGTAATAGTTAATTAAAAAACTTTTTAATTCTTTTAAATAAGTTCGATGATAGCGATAAAAATAAGGTTATTTATTATACTTATTTAATATATTTATTTTATTACTTTTACTTTTATACTCTTTTTTTATTATTTAAAATATCCTTTTACCAATTTTTAAATAAATTTAATAATTTTATTATTATAAGGTTTTTATTTTTTAAGTTAACACTCGTCTTCGCTTTTATTTAATTTAATTTTAGATTTATAAATTTTCGGTAATTTAGAACTTATAATTAACGTTTTATTTAATCAAATTAATATATTTATTAAAAAAATAGGTTTAGTATTATTCGTTAATATAAATATATATATAAAAATCAAAAAATAAAATATATATTTTAATACGATCGCTTTAGTAAACTATAGCTTATTAAAGGTACGGGGTTACGTTAATAAAAATCGTAAAAATATAGTTATAAATAAATAATTATTATTAAAATAAAAAAAAAGGGCGCTTAGCTTTTATAATACTATATTAAAACCGAGTATATTTAATATAACTACGGGCTAAGCCTTAGTTTTTTAATATATCCTTTATATTAAAAGCTTATATTATTAACTAAAAGAGCTATTAAAACTATTAGCCGCTAAATTAATATTAAGGCCCGTAATATTTATATTATTCTTTAAGAATAATTTTTAAATTCTATATTTATTTAACGGGATATTTATAATATTAAAGCTTTTATAAATAAATAAAAATTAAATAGTTATTTGTTAATAGCCTTTTAATAAAGCTTTTTAATAAATTAAAAGTGTTTTATATTATAAAGTAGGTTTATAATAAGCTTAATCGGCTTATTAGCTTAATATAAATTTTCCTATTTCATTTTTTAATATAAAGGCGCTTTTTAGAAGTAATTAGTTTAGTAATATATATAATACGAATTATTTCAAACTTCCGCTATTTTAAATTATTAATTAGATATATATTAAATTTATTTTTAAAATAATACTAGGCCTTATAAATAATAAGAGATTAAAAAGGTTCTAGTTTTTTATAAAAAATATCCGTTAATTAATTAATTAATATTCGATTCGCTTATTAAATATTATTATTACCGATTATAATAAATAAATAAAGGCCGCCTTAGCTTACGAATTTACTAATATATAATAATAGCTTTATATTTATTATATTAATTTTAATATTATATTTAAAGCTAAATAAAAATAAATAAAAAAAAACAGCTAAAAGGTACCGGTAATAATTTAGATTATAAAAACGATATCAAGTTTTTAAAAATATTAATAATAGAATTAAGCAACGAGGACTAAATATATATTTATATATTTATTAATAATTGAATTTTCTATATATATTACGGAGTTTTTATAATATAAAAGCTTATTATTTTTATTAAAATCGAAGTTATTTTTAAAAAAATATAAAATAATCTTTATAAAAAGTTTAA